GCTTTCTACTCCCGTAAAGATTTACACCCTCGGAAACCCTGTACAGGGTCGCTATGGGTCGGAACCGACTCGACGGCACTTAACAACAACAATAGCAACAACATATACCTAGTGCCTATTCAAATTCTTTCAAAGTACTAGAAAACTCTTCTGGATGCACTTAAATACCCAAGCTAACTGGTCGCTCCTTCCTAGAGGTACTAGCCTCACTGGACCAGGCACACAGCTGGTGTCCTAGGGACGTCTCTTCCCCACGTCCCTAGGAATACCCTCACAACCCCTTTTCTCTCTCTTTCCTTCTTTTTAACATTAAAATTTTTTCTTTTTCTTTCTTTTTACCTTTTTACTGTGGTTTGGGTGAAAGCTTACAGAGCAAATTAGCTTTGCATTCAACAATTTACACACATTGAATGTTGTGACATCTGCGGCAATCCCTTCAATTAAGTATAAAAACACTTTTAACTACTTCCTCTCTGACTTCCAAGTTCCATTTATCCTTCTTTGCTGCCAACTCCTGCCTTCTGAACTTTACTTTTGGATAAGGTGGCAGTTCAAACCCACCAGCTGCTCCTTGGAAGTCCTAGACAGGGTCACTACGAGTGGGAACCAACTCGACGGCACTTAACAACAACAACAACAAGCTGCCCTATTAAGGATCCCTGGTGGCATGGTGGGTTACATGTTGGACTGGTAACTTGCAAGGTCAGCTGTTCAAATCCACCAGCTGCTCTGTGGAGGAAAGATGAGCCTTCCTGCTACTTGACAGCATATAGCAGTGTATGGTTTCATCTAGTTAATTGTACTGAGGAGTTAGTCACTTAATAGGTCTGTCTGTTTGGCCAAAAATTGACCTCTGGAGGTGGGTTCAATTCCAGGCTTGAAGTATGTGTGTAACTAACAGCCGCAGTCCCAGGGGTCTATCAGTCTCTATCACACCATTAATCTGGTCCTTTTTACCCTTTTGAATTTTCAGAACCTGCCTCAATAACTGCAGTAAGTCCACAAATTCATTCTCTCAGTAGCTACATCTAGATAAACATCTTTTTTTTTTTTTATGATTGATGATAGTCTAATAAGACTAGAAAGTCCATCTCTCTAAAGTTTAATTCTTTGTTTATTACCACTCATTCTTATTTTAAAATTCAGGTTCAGAATATGATGGAAGAAAATGAAACAGTAGCCTTTATCGCAAAATTAGAGGAATCAGAGTTTAGCCTGGATCTTGAGGAGTTGGAGAGGCTTCATGATGAAAGCGAGGAGGAAGTGGCGAAGGTATGAAGACATTTAGTGGAAGCATCATAAAGTTATAAGGAAAGGGGAAACATGATCAGAGAAAACTTGTAAGCCTGTCTTCAGCCTATAACTGATTGGAATACCTAAAAGGGGTTCTACAACTTGCCCAGTGAAATAGG